TATTCGTATGTTGTGTCTGCATTCTGATTTGTCATTCAGCAATAAGTCTGAGTTCATCTGTTTGCATAGGCATTGATCTCCTGTCCAAAGGTACCCGCTTGGATATTTACAAATACTTATTCTTTATATTATCACTTAAGTATTAATGTCAATAATATTTAGTTATACGTTAATTATTTTATAATTCAGTACCTCTGATACGCGTTGCAACAGACATACTAAATGCCTTTGTCTGACTAATGATCTTAACTGGGACTTATTTTGGGGGTAGGTATCATAGTATTCTGGTTAGATCTTATTATGAGGGAAATACACTATTTTAAAAAATTAATCTTACATTTTTCTAAAATTCACACTAAAATGCAAATTTTTGTTGTTAACTCTAAATCTCAAATTGGAGTAAGTTACACTTTAGGCAAAGTCACTCAAAATTTACTTGGCCAACTAAAAAGATTTACAGTTATAAATCTATGTTTGCCAGAAGTTCACAAAAGCATCAACTCCACTTAGATGGGGCTTTTGAAATGGAAAAGTGATTACCACGTCATACATTTTATAGTTTAACTTCTACCATCTCTTCTAGCCTCACACCACTTTTATGATACATCCAAAATAGGGAACAGAACAGCCATCCCCTACAAAAAAAAACAAAACAAAACAAACAAAAAGACTTCCTAGAGTCCTTTGTTTGTATAGCTTTAAATCCTACAGCAGTGGTGGCAAATCTTTTAGAGCTTTCAAAAAATAAAAGCAGCCCACTGTGGCACACATGCCATAGGTTTGCCACCACTGTCCTGAGTATGAGTGCTTTATTAAATAATAAGGATGACTATACCTGCTGGCAAATTGCAGGAAGAAATTTTGCTGTTGTAGTACAATAGAGAAAATTATATTTTGAAAGGAAAGGTGCACATTCCTCTTCTACAGAAACATATTTGCCATGTCCAGAAGAGCCAGTAAGTACCACTGCAATCAGTATGCAGAGTGCTCTTGGCCCAAGTCACAGGTTCTTCTAACAGGAAGGCTGAGTGGGAGTTGGAAAGCAATTGATGGAAACAGGACTGAAGTGTTGGTTCCATTCATTATCCAGTAACCACCTCTGCAGTCTTAACATTTAGTGCCAATTGCAAGTACCTGGTTGTCATTCAATAGGAGATAGTGTCTAACAAGCCACCTTTCTATACATAGATGATTACAAGCATTCCTGCTAAAACCTTGTCTGGTCTGAGATTTTATAAACTCTACTGATCAGAGATTTCAAGAGCTATCACAGTGAAATCCCTATCAAAAAGTTCTTCTAAACCCTCCCTCGTGCTTCTTTTTATTCAGTGGTGGTGGTACCGGCACTCAAACCCAGAGGAGCTCTACCACTGAACTACAGCGTCAGCCCTTTTAATTTTTTATTTTGAGACAGTGTCACACTAACTTGTGATCCTTCTAACTCAGCCTCCTAAGTAGCTGGGATTAGAGAAGTATGCCACCACACCCACTCAATGACTTTCTGAATCAATACTAGACTCAAGAACTAAATATACAAATATATTAATTTCAGTAAACACTTTAAAATTATTTCTATGTAATACACTTTTATAAAGTAGTCAAAAACTCACAACCAGTATTTGTTTTCCTGACTACAAAAACACATGTACTTCTTAAAATCCTGCATAGTTGGAGCTGAGGATATAGCTCATTGGCAAGCACAAGGTCCTGAATTTGATTCCCAGTACCCTCCCCGACAAAAATCCTGCATAGCATATATATTCACAATCTAGGATCACAGGAAAGTAAATTTACTCAACACGATGCCTTTAGGTGTTTTTTGTTTTTGTTTTTGTTTTTTTGTACCAGGGATTGAACACAAGACTTACGCTTGCCAGGTAGGTGCTTGTGCCACTAAGCTATATCTTCGGCCCTATGTGTTTTATTTAATGAGTCATATTTGATAAATTATTAATATTTGATTGACTATTATAAAAGTGACTTTCAAATTTAGGAACTGTTTTTCATGATGAATTTACTTAGTCCTCCAAGGAAATAATTCACTTTTATACTTTATAATTACAAGAGGATACATATTTCTTGTAAAAGTTAAGTTATGAGAGTGATACTTAAAAGTTAAGTTATGAGAGTGATACTTAAGGTACAAAACACAGTTCCCCTATGTTTCACCCCCATCCCCTGTTAACAACCAATAATAATTTGAAATACGCTCCCACAGATTTTATTTTCTACATATACGATTTAGGCAAGTTTTCACAAGAATTATGGCTTGGGGAAAGCGAAAAGGAAAGCAGAAATGGGAGAAAGTCTTTTATAGAAGATGCCTGTTAATGCTAAAATGTTTAAATGCAAAAGAAAGACTATAAAATATACAGTCTAAAAAACATCAGAAAAAGTATTCATCAGGGTACTGTAAATCAAAACCATAGTGAAAAAGCACTTTATATCTACTAGGATAGCGACATCAAAAAGACAATAACAATATGGAAAACTTAGAACCTTCCTACACTGCTGGTGGGAATAAAGTGGCAAAGTCTTTCAGAAAACAGTAGGAATTCCTCAAAATGTTAAACACAGTGATGCTACAAGTCTCAGCAATTCTACTCCAAGTATGTAACCAGGAGAAAGGAAAACCTGCACATATCCAAAGCAGGAGTTACTTGAGCCCAGAGTTCAAGGTCAGTCAGGGCAACATAACAAGATCTTGCCTAAAATATATAATTTATATAATATAATTAAAAATATCTTTAGAGACAATGTAGCAAATACATCTCAGTGAAAAACCCAGGAATTAGGTGACTACAAACACTAGCTATGCTCCAAAGGTCTACTAGATGCCAGATGCGGTGGCACGTGCCTGTAATTCCGGCACTCAGGAGCCTGAGGCAGGAAGACTGCCACAAGTTTGAGGCCAGCCTGGGCTACAAAGTGAGTTCAAGGCCAGCCTGAAGTGCATACAAGACTTTGTCTCAAAATGACCAAAAAAAAAGTCTACTAGAAGGACGTGGCATGCTTGAACTACAGAAAAAGGCAAATGGCAAGAAGAGGCTACAATCAAAGAGTAATGCATGAAGCAGAATCTACATGACCTAACGTCCAAATGGTCAAAAGGAGTAACAGCAAAAATAAAGAACTAATAAAGTATCATTACCTGTGCTTGAGCTATAAGGATACAGAAATGAATGATGCAGATCCTGCCTTGAGACGCCAACAGTACAGGAGAGAGGGGCAGATAATTAATAGTCTGTTTCTCTAGCTGTTTCTCTAGCTGTTTCTCTAGCAAAGAGCAGAAGGCACAATTCTAAAAAGAACGAAAAGCTGCCACTTACGGTTACCTTACAATATGCTGGTACTGTTTTCCAAACAGTACTTCTGTCATTCCCTCTAATAAAGTATCATCACCTTAAAATAACCAACTGGCTAATGACGCCATTAACCAAAGAGCAGAAGGCACAAGGGGAAGCTGATTCAAGAGTCAACAAAGAAAAGGTTCAGGAGCCTTAACTGATTAAACTGGATGTGTTCATTTCATTACCCTTGCTCGTTTTGTTTCTCACTCTGTTGTTAAGGTTTCTCACTCTGTTGCCCAGGCTGGTCTCCAACTCCTGGGCTCAACCCATCTTCCTGCCTCAGCCTCCCTAGTAGTTGTGACTACGGGCCTATGCCACAACACCCAGTTTACCCTCTTTATAAGTAAACATGCATATAACAAGGAGTTAAAAATCAAGACACTGAGAATCACTACTTTTATACTTTTGAATGTATAATACGTCATAGTGGAAAAAGGAAGATGGAGATAGTAGATTTGGTTTTGGATCTCTTGAGTCGTAGAAGGTGCAGACTTATCACTCTGTACAAGGAGGCTAAAGAAAATGGCCTGGAAATGGTTGAGATAAAAGGATGACACTATGGAAGTCACAGACGTAGATGAGAATGTGTGTCTGCGGAAGGCCATGGGCTGCAGCATGACTAAGGGCCAACTAAAAGGAGAGTCAACTAAAATAAAGGTAATCAAAGACAGATGATTTCACCAACTCCCTTCCCTTTCCCCAACAGACACACGGAAAAAAAATCAATTCTAAAAAGAACGAAAAGCTGCCACTTACGGTTACCTTACAATATGCTGGTACTGTTTTCCAAACAGTACTTCTGTCATTCCATCTTAGATGTACTGTTAGCAGTACTGTTCAGAAGGAGGACCTGAAGATTCTTTTGCATCTGTATTAAGTTAGAAAATACTCTTCGTTTATATCCAAAAAAAATTGAGGAAAAGAGGGTCTGAGGGCAACGTCTCCCTCTTCTTTGGCACCACACTGCTATGTTCGGGCACTGTGCCAGACGTTACCTAATCTCCCTTCATCCTCATAATGAGCCTAGTAGGCAGCTAGAGAAACAGACTATTAATTATCTGCCCTTCTCTCCTGTACTGTTAGCGTCTCAAGGCAGGATCTGCATCATTCATTTCTGTATCCTTATAGCTCAAGCACAGGTAAATATTGCGCTGAGTTAACTTACTAAACAACCACCTGAGGACAGCGTCAAGCAAGCAAACGGGAAAGTTTTAAGAAATGGATGATCAGCAGCGTCAAGGGGTGTAGCACCGAACCGGTACTCCTCGTCCTTATCCAGCGTCTACTGCAAGCAGGGCAATGTGTTGAGCACTATAAATAATAGGAAAATAAGATCTGGTACACATCACAGGGCTTTCTAGGGAGGCACCCGCATCTGAAGTCTCGCTCAGGAAAGCGACCACCAGGGTCAAGCCTGCAAATGCCTACGTTTTACTTGGTTCAGGTAAATCCGAAGGCAGCTTAAAGGGGCACAGAGCACCGTTTCGAAAAACTTCTGATGGAGGGCACTAGACAAAGAAGGGCCGGAGCACATCAGTCCGGGCGATGACAGTCGGCGGCGAGGGAAACAGCTTCCCTCAGGAGCCCCCCGCCCCTCGCAGGGCTGGGGCTGCCCCTCCGTCGTCCGCACCGGGGGAAGCGCACACTTACCGCAAAAGGCACTGCTAAGGCCGTGGCCCTAAAGGGCCGGGGAGTCCGCGAGGCCCCGCGCCTTGGGAGGAAGGCCAGGAAAGCTTGGAGCAGACAGGCAAGCCCAAGCTCACAAACCGACTTCTCGAACAATATAAACTAGGGTCCCAGCACCCAGCGCTGCGACGCTAACTCCCACCAGCTGGAGGACCGACGACTGCCAGCGAACCTTCCGCCCAATGAGGAGACGTCATCACTCGGCGTAGTCCAGCCTTCCCCAGGAGCAAGCACTTCCGCTTCCGGGGCGCTGCGCCGCGTTTCCCCGGCTAGTCCCCGGAAAGGGTTTGCAGTGGCGTTTCTTTCCTTAATGGTTTTTGGCTTCAGTTTTCTAACAGCTGAATAAGTGTGGCAACACAGTTAGTAGTAAAATAGGCTCTCTTGAGATGGAATCTTGAGAAGAAATCAGGCCTAGAGGAGGCACTTTTAAAAAGTCACTTGAAAGCACACGTGGGAACTCCAGGAGGGGGCGGAGCTTAGGGTCCAGAGGGGCGGGGTCCACGCTGGCCGGAGCCGGCCGTCGTTGAGGGGGCGGGGGGGAGTGTGTCTCTTCCTGCGCGTGCGCAGTGCGAATTTCCCTCGCTGCTGCGGGCCTGTGCGACATGGAATTTCGCTCTGCTCGGCGAGCGATACTTCAGTTGCTGGAGGCTGTGGCTCCGGCAGATCGACCGGCGCTGCTGCAGTGGATGCGAACTACGCGTAAGCGACTAGGGCCAGAGGCAAATGATTGGGGCTAGGATGTACTGTGGCGCTGCCCTGGGGACCTAGGCAGGTTAAACCCAAAAGCCTTCCGATGGGGTCGCTACGTTGATCTCTTCTTTCCTTTGGGGTAGGGTTGTCCCCTGGGCCGCTCAGAGTGTCACTTGGGATTCAGTACTGGAAGATTAGGGCCCAGATGGTTTATGATTTCCTTGCAGGCTCCGAACAGGTTTCTGGAGCCGCACTGTGTCTTTCTGAAAGAACGAAAGGGTGGGCTTTAGCCCTCAGCCCCACACCTCACACAAATGGATGCTACTTGAAAAAGCACTTTGCTATCGAGCTTTTAGGTTGTAGAACTACAAACTGACCCCCCCGCGTGACGTCATCTGTAGCTAGTGCATTTGTTTTCTTGACTGTAAAAAAGTTTGCCGGGCCTGGTGGCACACGCCTGTAATCCCAAACACCCTGGGAGGCTGAGGCAGGAGAGTCTTAAATTTAAGCCCAGCCCGGGGAATTTAATAAGTCTCTGAAAATTTAAAAACAAACACAAGGATGGGAATACAGCACAGTACAAAGGAGTTCAATCCCCAGCACCACAAAAAATAAAATAGACCATTTAATAGCGTGGGAGGAGTTAAGAGGAAGGAAGAAAAAAATATTTTGACCTTAAAACTGTTAACATAATTAACAATAGCAATAATGAAAAGCAATAAAATGTTAGAACTGAGGAAATATAATTATATCCAGCAATTGAAGGATGAGATCTCCTCTGACAAGGTAGTGAAAGCACACGAAAAATAGGATAGTCCCTTTTAGGTGGATGTTAATTTTGTAAACTCTACCATTTAGGTGCCAACCTAAAATTGACTTGGACGTCTGATAGTGAAGTTTATCATATGTAAGGTGAGAATAGAAAACCAAAGATACAGCTTCCTATGTCACACGTGCTAGATTATTTTAAGATAGGAATTTCCAAAATATGCTGTCTTCTGACACTTAAACCCATCTTGTCCAGTGCATTCATCAGATCCCAGTCGTTTATAAAACAACAGCAACTACCGTCTGAGTTTTCTGCATTCCTAAGTATAAGACATTTATTCCACAAACTTTTGATTGCCTACAACAGCGCCAGTACTGCCTTGCTCTGGCAATTACAGTTACTGAGGTATCCTTGAACATTTTAGCTTTGTGGAGCAATGTGTAATCTTCCAATTTTTCAAAATCAGGGTGGCTTGAAAGTGTGTTGTGGATGTTAATTTTGTAAAACAAAAAGTCTCAAAATGCCTGACTGAGGAACCCTGCCCCAGCTGCTCTTCCACTGAATGACAATCCCAGGCCTACATTTTTACTTCTTTTTGGTACTGGGGATTGAACCCAGTGGGCCCTGACCTACATTCCCAGCCCTTTTTATTTCAAGACAGAATTTCCCTGAGTTGTAATTGGCTACTGTCTGTTCGTTTGTCATCTATGACCTTGGTGAATTAACTTGTTGGTTTTAGGAATTTCCTGTAAATTTCTTAGAATTTTCTACATGGGTAATCAAATCATCTACAAGTAGGCATTCTTTTCTTTTCTTTCAGGCTGTCTGCTTTTTATTTCCTTTTACCTTATTGTGCTGGCTAGTACTATTGCCGTTGCTATGTTGAGTAAGAGTAGCAAGAGTAAAACTCCCTTCCCTGTTCTCAATCTTAGTGGGAAAGCATTGAGCTTTTCACCATTAAGTACACTATTAGTTGTAGAGTTTATTTTTTTTTTTTTTGTCTTTTTGTCTTTTTGAGACAGGGTCTTGCTATGCAGTTCAGGCTGGCTTTGAGCTCACTTTGTAGCCCAGGCTGGTCTCAAACTTGCATCGATCCTCCTGCCTCAGCCTCCTGAGTGCTAGGATTGCAGGCATGTGCCACCACACCCAGCTGAGTTTATCTTTTTTAATGTGCTATATTTCAGAGAGCTCCTTCATATTCCACCCTCACCCCCATCCCATACTGGGAATGGCACGCAGGGCCTTCATATTGAGCTATAGCCTCAGCCATTTTATGTTTTATTTTGAGACAGGGTCTCAATATGCAGTTCAGGTTGGCCTTGAACTGTATGTAGCCCAGGCTGGCCTCAAACTTATTTGGATCCTCCTGCCTCAGCCTCCCAAGTGCTAGGATTACAAGCATGCACTACCATGCCCAGTTTAGCTCCCTTGTGTACTTAGTTTGAGAGCATTTTCCTTGTGAATTGGTGTTGGACTTTGTCAAATGCTTTTCTGCATCAATTAATAGGTTTGTATTATTTTTCCTCTTTAGCTTATTGATTTAGTGGATTATGTTGGTTTTCTTTTTTGTTTAGTGGATTACATTTACTTTCAATTACTGAATGACAATCAGTCATTATTTTCAATTACTGAATGACAACGTCAACTCAGGGAAATTCTGTCTTGAAATGAAAAGGCCTGGGAATGTAGGTCAGGGCTCACTGGGTTCAATCTCCAGTACCAAAAAGAAGTAAAAATGTAGGCCTGGAATTGCCATTCAGTGGAAGAGCAGCTGGGGCACGGTTCCTCAGTCAGTCATACTGAGAATCTGAACCAGCCTTGCATCTCTGGAACAAATCCCATTTGGTTATAAGTTTTATAGAGTGCTAAATTCAATTTCCCACAATTTAGTTGTGGGTTTTTACATTTAAATTCAAAACAGATATTGTCTGTGGTTTTCTTTTTTTGTATTTTGGTTTTGATATCTGGGTAATATTGGCCTTATAAAATGAGTTTGGCAGTATTGCCTTTTCTGCTGTTTTCTGGAAAGGACTGTAAATTTGGTATTAATTCTTTCTTAAATATTTGACAAAAAAAAAATTTGGCGAAATTCCCCTGTGAAATCATCTTGCCTAGAGATTTCTTTTGAGAGCTTTTTAGTTATGAACTCAATTTCTTTATTTGCTGTGGGACTATTACAGACTATTTGTTTCATTTTGCTGGACTTTTGGTAGTTTGTTGTTTTTGAGGAAATAGTCCGTTCTTCTAAATTGTTGAATGTATGCATGTAAGTTATTTATAATCCCTTATTTTCCTTTTAATGGCTACAGGATTGCTACTGATAGCACCCTTCTTTTATTACTAACATATTTTAGTTCTTTTTCTCCTTGCTGAGACAAAATACTCATACCCAAAATTAAAGGAGGAAGGGTTTTATCTTAGCTCACAGTTTGTAGAGGTTTCAGTTTATAGTTGGCTGGCTCCAAGGCAGAGTGGCATAGCAGAAGGGCATTGCAGAGGAGAAACAGTTCCTGGCAGGCAGAAAGTAGCAAGTAGTAAAGTAGCAAACCAGGAAGCAACAACAGGAGCCCTCTTTCTGTCCCCTATATTCCGTCCAGGCTACACGCTCTTAGGACAGGTAGCATTCACACTCAGGGTGGACCTTCCCATTATCCATGGCCAGAATTATGCTAATCAATCAGTGAATCAAATTACTAATCACACACCCTTGATCCCAGCATTGTACACTTAATCCCAGCATCACACACGGTAGATCCAGCCACTTCTGAAAAGCCCCGTCTATGACCACATGAGGCTTTGGGGGGAAATCTATATACAAATATAATATTAGTTATTTGGGCCTTTTATCTATTTGTCTTTGTCAGTGTTAGTAAAAGTTATCAATTTTTAAATTTTTTTAAGTCAGCCGTAGTGGCACAAAGTTGTAATCCCAGTACTTTAAATGCTGAGGTAGGAGGATCGAGTTTGAGGCCAGTCTGGGTTTCATGGCGAGACCTAGTCTCAAAAAATATGTGTGTGTGTGTCTGTGTATGTGTCTGTGTGTGTCTCTGTGTGTGTGTGTGTGTGTGTCTGTGTGTGTGAGTTTTGTTTTGTTTCATTTTCAAAGAACCAAGTTTTCTTCCTTGACTTCTGCTGTTGTACTTATTTCCTTCTAGTTTGGGTTTCTTTTCCTCCTAGTTTCTTTAAATAGAAATTTAGATGATTGATTTGAACTCTTTCCTGTTGTCAAATAAATTTAGTCCTATAGTTTTCTCTCTCAGCACTGAATTAGCTGAATCCCACAAATGTTGGTATGCTGTATTTTTATTTTCATTCAGTTCTATGTATTTTGTTTTTGTTTTTTTGTTTTTTGTTTTTTTTTTCCTGGTACCAGGAATCAAACTCACAACCTCACACTTGCCAGGCAGGCGCTGTGCTGCTGAGCTAAATCCCCAGAAAGTTCTATGTATTTTTAAATTCCTTTAAAGTTTCTTCTTTGGCTACTGGATTATTCAAAAGTGTGTCATTAGCCCAGTGTGGTAGATGATTTTAATCCCAGTGCTGTGGGAAACTGAGGTCAGAGGATCACAAGTTTGAGCATAGCCTGGGCAGTTTATCAATCCAGAGAGACCCTATCTTGAAATAAAAAAAAGAACTGGAGGGTGAAGGCCCCTATACCACTAAAAAAAGTGTATTGTTTAACTTCTAAATCCTTAGAAATTTGCCTGTTGTCTTTCTGTGATTGATGTCTACTTTGACTCCATTATGGTCAAAGAAGACACTCTTGATTTCATTTCTTTTGAATTTTTTTTTTCTGACCTGCAGAATGGCTTATACTGGTGAATATTTATGGGTGCTTGGAAAAAACTTTTCTGCTGTTTAGTGAAGTGCTATTTGTTAGATCTTATTGGTTCATGATGTTTTTCACTTCTATTTAGCTTTGCTGATTTTATGTCTCTTTTTTTGTCAGTTGCTGAGAGTGAGGTGAAGTCTCCAGCTATAATTATATATTGGTTTCCCATTATGGCTCTGTTAGTTTGCTTTAGGCATTTTGAAGTTTTGTTATTGATGTGTGCACATTTAGAATTGGTTTGTTTTCTTGGTGAATTGATCTTTTTTATTATTATATAATATTCCTGTTGTCCCTATTAATGTTTTCCCTTGAACTCTTTCAATTAATATAAGCAGTGTTTTGTTTTGTTTTGTTTTGTTTTTGAATTAGAGCTGTGTGGTCTAGATTGGTCTTAAATGCAGTAGATCT